GGGGGATGGGGGGATGGGAGGAGGGGGGGAGGGGACTGTTAACAATGACACCCTGTTTGCTCTCCTTTTAACACCTTTAGTCAAGTGGTGTGAGTTTCCTTGCTATTGAGATGAAATACTCCTTTTTAACCAGAAGGTGGGGCTGGCTCCCTGGAAACAACTTCAGAGGCCTTCCTGGACTGGCTTACTGTGAGGCAGGTGCTGGCATAAGGTTGCATCCTTCACCACCGTTTCATTATAACACTAAGGAGATGCCATAGGAACTTAACTCCTGTTTGTTTCCATTAGCCTGTGGTTAAACTGGTTTCGTTATATGTCATGTAGCTTAAGAGTCACAGGACCTATCAAGGACATTAAGTGAGGACTTTGTGCACCAGTTTTTCAAGTAGCTTCAGTCCGTGGATATGCGTCAGAATCCCATAGGCAGTCTTTTCCTACCTGGGCCCCACCTGGACATTCTGGCTTAATTGGTCTGGGGTGGGCTCTGGGTAGTGGGTCTCAAACTCTGCTGCACATTTAGTCTCCTGCAAGCTTTTAACACTCTGACCACACACCTGGGGCAGGAGCCCTCCGTCAGCATTTTCTAGATCAGATGGTTCTAGTGTGCGGCCCACTATGGGAGCTTCCCAGGTGATTCTAACCTGCAGCAGGACCGGCTCCCCTGCTGGGGAACAGACATTCGGGTGCCTCTCTGGGTGTGGCCACAGTTGGAATGAGTGGGATGGAGAGCGATCAGCCAGAAAGACTCCACTGAGTCACCCTCCATCTCCCTCTTATGTAGAGGCTTGGCCTCCTGCTTTCCATGCTGGGGGTGGCCCAGAGGTAATGGATGCGATGTGAGCAGGGTCTTAGCAGAAAGGAAGGGGCCACGAACAGCTGAGAGCCGGGCATCACCCAGAACCCTTTCTATCCCTGTCCTTCCAGCTTTGTGACGACCAACTGGGCTCTGCAGTTTCGTTGAGCGGAATCTGACCTGGCCTTACCTGGCTTGGACCCTGGACAAGAACACCGTGGGCTGCCTACCCACAGTGGCGATGTGGTATCCAGTCGGCCACGAACACGAGTAGCGAGTATCACATCGTCCAGGACACCAAACCAGCCACTTCACCGCGGCCCTGCAGGTGAGGGCCGTGTCCTCCCGCTCCCTCAGTGTGCCCCTGGCAGCCTGCACCCTGGTCACCCTGCCCAAATCTGAGTACCTCTGGGGGCCCAGTAGGGTGGTTCCAATCATTGTTACTCAGGGGTGTTGAAAAGCGCAGGGTAGCTGTGTTCAGTTATCCTAAAGTCAGAGGCCTTTTCCACATCTTCTGGTGGGAGGAGCCCACAGAATCTGGGGGGGAAGGGCAGCCCAGGTTGGTAGGTGACCCCAAAGCAGAGTTGTGCACTCAGATGCCACTTTGGCCGGGCAGGGGCAGGGGAAGTGAGAGAGGCTCCCCCTTGAGGGCAGCTCTCACCAGCGGCTGCCACGCAGCAGTGCAGGCTCGGTGTTCCTGACTGTATTTTCATGAGAAGCCAGATCACATCGATTTTCTACTCAACATGCTGGAATAATTTTGTATTTCAGAGTAAAAGCCAAATTCTCTACATATCGTATTTGCAGCATAGGCAGAATAATGGCCTCCAAAGACGTCAAAGATTGCAGATGGAATTAAAGTTGCTAATGAACTGACCTTGAGGTAGGGAGATGATACCGGAAATTGGTGGTTACCAATGTAACCGCAAGAGTCTTCATGAGTGAAAGAGGCAGGAATGTCACTGTGATGCAATGTGGGAACCACGTGACAGGCCATTGCTGGCTTTGAACATAGGAGGGAGCCCTAAGCCAAACACAGTGGGCAGCCTGTAGAAGCTGGAAAGGCAAGAAAACGGACGCTCCCGAGAGCCTCCAGAAGGAATGCGTGCTGCCGCCCCTTTTTTTAGACCAGTGAGATGCATTTTGGACTTCTAACCTCCAGAACTGTAAGGTAATAGATGTGTGTTGCTTAAAGCCACCAAATTTGTGTTAAGTTGTTGCAGCAGCAGTAGGAAACAGATATACAAAATAAAAAGCTGCCATCTCAGACTCCTGTCTCTCACTCCCTCTTCGTCCACCCCATGACCTCATTGCTATTTCTCAAGCACATGCCATGCCAAACCCTCTGCTGTGTCAGGGCCTGTGCACTTCCAGTGCCCTCAGCCTGAAGCAGGTTTTGAATCACAAAGCATTTCTGTTGGGGATGATTGGTGAGATGGGGCCTGAGACTAAGAGCCAGCTGACTTCTGCTTTCAGCCATGACACAGAGACAGGGACCAGATTTATCCTCATGCCCTGAACATGCTAAAAAAAAAAAGACAAAACACATGAAAGCATGGTTTTAAAATACTGGACAATAGGCAGTGCAGGGGAGTAATTCTCAACAGAAAGTAATTCTCAACAGAAAGGGAATTAACAAGGTGAGCCCTGGAGTTTCCCAGGCAGTGAGCAAGGAGGGGGAACCCAAATTGAGTCAGTTATTTGAAGGAGTTTGGAAGGTGGAGTTCAGAGTTTGTGGAGACCAAAGTGGCTAGAATTTGGAGAGAGGAGAGGAACAGTGAGGGAAAGCTCCAGAGAGCTGCAGCGGACTCCCCACAATCCTTTGGCTGAGTACTGATCAGTGCCTAGGTGAAAGGAAACTATTGCGACCTGGGAAAGAACTAGCAAAAGGGGAAGGCAGATACACAGCCAAGAATAGCATTCCCACCAGCCAGAATGGAAAGAGCTCCTAATACATGGAGCACTGAATAGAGTCCTCACAAAGATCTTGGCTCGGTAATGGGGCCAAATTAGCCCTAGATAAAGACTGTTTTGGACCTGACAAAGCTTAAAAGCAAGCTTCTAAAGCAGCTCTGACCAACATAACTTTCTTCAAGTATTGTCCAATCCTATATTAGACAATACTATACTATATTGTCCAATACTATATTGTCCAATAGTATATTGGACAATACTATATTGGACAATAGCCATGTGTGTACATTTGAAATGTGTATAGTACAAATGAGGAACTGAAATTTAAATTTTACTTAATTTTATTAACATAAATCCAAATAGACATATGTGTTTAGTGGTTACTATTTTCAACAGGGAAGCTCTAAAGGATCAAAATATTTCCAAGTAAACTTACTGCATCTCAGAACAAAGTCTAAATATATTTAAAGAAAAACAAAAACCTCCAGCATGTAACAGTGTAAAATCTGCAATGTCTGGTAGCCAATAAAAACTATGAGCTATGGAAACAAGCATAAAAATATGACCCATAAATAGGAGAAAAAAGTCAGTTGATGGGAATAGAAACATATCTAGAAATGACACAAATGATAAAATTAGTATGCACTGAACTTAACAGCTATTTTAATATATATTCCATATTTCCAAGAAGGTAGAGCAAAGCTTGAACATGATGGGGTAAGCTTAACCCTGCTGAACACAAAAATGGGAATTCTTCCATAGGGAGATGAAGGGAGATGGGACCTTGAAAGGGAACTCCCTTAAAATTACATCATCTATAAATCTTTCCATGACAACTCATTTTCCCATGGGGGCTTCAGGAAATTCTTACTCCCATGGCACCCCAAGAGCTCCACAGCCACCAGTAACAGGTGGCTCCCCAATAACAGGACCTCTGACTTCTTTATCTAAAATAGCAGCAACACTCAATTTAAGTTTTTAGTATCTAGCTATACTTACAAACTATAGGATACCTGAAAATAAATGCTACAAAATATGAGAAAATGTTACAGCACACATAATGATGAAAAAAAATCAGAGCAGAGAATGGAAAACATATGGCACTTATATTTATTTAAATGCACTTCTATGAAGAATTTGTTCTAACTTAAAATTTGTTTATGTCTGTCGATAACATTTTGAGGGGGGAAAAGGAATACTTACCAGGCAAAAACAGGAATTGTTAGTCTCTTCACATGTGAGATTACTTTTGAAATGCACATGCGAATACTAAATCAAAATAATAAAAAAACAGCTTTAAAAACCTAGTTATCTATTTCATCTGTGAAGAGAGAGAGAGAAAGAGAGAGAGAGAGAGAGAGAGAGAAAGAGATAAAGCCACCAATAAAGTTGAGAAGCCCTTGGGTTAAGAAAAGTGGGGCATGTTAAACATTAAGAAATATTACATTGACATTTCAAGTGAGGCTCCAAAAATTTAGCAGAATAAAATGCAGTTCTCATTCTTTTTCACTAAAAACTCTCTTTTCTACTTTTAGGTAATGGGTTAATTTTAACATAGTTGGATGGCCAAAAATATTATTCCTGGTTGTTAAAATAGTGTTCCCTAAAATAGAGAATTGGACAGGAAAACAGTCGATAAAACTTTAAATATCAATTGCGGAGTGTACCCTTTCCTTTTTTTGGTTAACCACCAGTTTTTCTGGAAAGGGACCAGCGTGTGGAGAAGGGATACCAATCGGGAATCTACGCTTTCACTGCTAGTGCTGCCACTTCCCAATTCAACCCTGACCCAGAGCTGACCCTGGCAGACTGCAGGCCCCTGGCGCCCATAGAACAGACCGGCTCTCTCCCTGGGTGCTCTGGCAGGACCCGGCCTGGGAGGCTCCCTGACACTCGGCTGCGGCAGGAGACCGCGCCAACCTCCCAGGACCCAAGAGCAGCTCTGGGGGATAAGGAGTTCACTGGGTCCAGATCGGCGCCTGATCTATGGGGAAAGTGGTACAACCTCTTGGCAGCAAAGCTGCAGGTGTTTCAAAGCTTTGGGAAAGCTGCGGGATGCGCATGCGCATTCCACCCAGGTGCCGCTACCAAGGAAAAGGACTAGCCCCTGTTACTAGGAGACCGGACGCTCCTGTGGAAACTCCGCGCTGTAGAGCGTGCGCCTGCGCGGCGCGGATGGACCACGAGGAGGCCTTCCCTAGGCGTCTGAGGGCTGGCACGTGAACGGACGCATCGCCCCTTGCGTGGGTGCGCGCGCAGGCCTCGTAGTCCCTGAGAGAAGGAGCGTCGAGCCAGGTACGCGTGCGCACAGGGACTGTGGGCTTGAGGAAAGGATGTGGAGCTAAGGCGCCAGGAAGTGGAGGAGAAGCGCCCCTCAGGTACAGAGCGTGAGGGCGGAGTCGACGGCGGCGCGGGGCGGTGCTAACCGCTCCGCCTCCTTCCCGTCAGGTGTCGTCTTCCACCACCTGCACCTCCAGCGGGGCGGGGCCGGGTCCATTTGGGGGTGGGAAGGGCGGGGAGAGGGCGGAGGATGGAGATGGGGTGGGACTTGAGTCGCTGCGGGAGGCGGCGGCCTGGCAGGCGCCGGGATGAGCTCTGAGGAGGCGGCTGGGCCGGGAAGTCCCGGGAGGGACCTGGCGCCCCAGGTAGAGGCCGCGGCGATGGCCGGTGGGGGCCCAGCAGTTTCTGGGCCGGAAGGCCTCTGAGGAGGCAGCGGCCAGGGGCGTGTGTGGGGTCGGGGCGGGGTGACCCCGAGGCAGGGGTTCGCGGCTTGAGCTGCTGTGAGGGGCAGTGGCGGCTTGAGCTGCTGTGAGGGGCAGTGGCGGCCGAGCTCGGCCCGGGAAGCCTCCGGGAGCCGCCCTGCTCCCGCCGCCCTTTCTCGGGAGCGCAGGGCTGGCCAGTTCCTATGGTGACCGCTTGGCGTCCTGCCGCCCTGCGCTGGGTTGCGGGGGGCTGTTGGGCTTAGAGACGCTGCGGACGGAGCTGAGCCTTTGGAAGTCAGATCGGGGAGCCCAGCCCGGCTCCGGGCTCCCAGCCTCTCATTTCTGAGTTCTTGACAGACTTCGGGGGCGAAGGGCCGAGGGGAAGGGCGTCCTCATGAAAACCTCATGTAATTTCAGTGCCCGGGAAAGGCAGGGTGAGCGGGCTTTTGTCTGAAACTAGTGGAGGCAGTTGAGAACCGAGGCAGTCATGGGCCTGATACCCAGATACGCACAGGAATACTTCTTTCCCTTTAAACAAAGTCAAGGATCGCGGCATCAGGAAAAGCTTGCAAAGATGACGGTGTCCGAGTTTTCCTTCTTCCCCTCCATACCCTCATACCTCCCGGTATTCGGTGTTTTAAATGCCCTCTACTGGCATCTCAACTACGCCTTTTGTGGTTGTAAGGAAATAAATAACAGTCGGCCTTTAAGTAGAGGAAATAGGTTAGTTATAAATGTAAAAGGAGCGTGTCACATTCAAACCTGCCTCCAGGATAAAAACTTTTTTTTGGTTTTTATTTTAATCAACTAAATCAATCTTTTTAAAATCCTCACCCAATTTTAAAATCCTCACCCAATCCTCAGGAGGATATGTTTTTATTGATTTCTAGGGAGACAAGGGAAACATGGATGTGAGGAAGAAACATCAATCGGTTGCCTCCCTAGGCTGGGATCTAACAGGCACCCTAGGTTTGTGCCCCAATTAGGAGTGGAACCCACAAAGGTAGATCACTTCAACCAGCGAGCCACCTGCCCAGGGCTAAATCAGTCTTAGTTAGTGGGAAATAATTAGGAAGGTACATTAATGAAATATTAATTTGAAATGATAAATTTTGGCATTATTTAATGGCAGCTTCCCAAATATATCTGATTTTAAATGTTTCTTTTCTGAAAAAAAAGAAAAGAAAGAAACCACTGCTTTAGCCCAGCATCTAATCAGTTGTAGAGCTTTCAGGCTGTCTTTCTGTCCTGGTCTCCAGTTGCTTGGTCCAGTTCGTTGTAGGATCATTTGCTCTTGAAGTCCTCCCGGTACAGAGGCAGTAAGAGCAGGTGTTACTAGATTTATTCCCTTTTCCCATCACATGCCCTTCTCCCCTGATGTAGCCACTATGCTAGCCACTTCCTTGCTTTTCCTCCATCTTCGTATGTGAATATGCATGTTCTAATTTGGCTTGCTTTTGAACTTATGCAAATGAAATTTTACTAAGTATTTCTTTGCATTTTGCTTCTTAAAACAGTTGTTCAGTGTTCTGATGTAAGAGTATCACAACTGATCTACTCTTCTCTTGGTGGACATTAAAGATTTTACAGTTTTGGTGAATGTGAAGAACGTTATTGTGAAGCTTCTTATACATGTCCCCGATGGTAATCTTTTATTTCCCCATGGTAATCTTTTGAAGTGAGCTAGTTAGTAAGGCAGTCCCATATCTTAGTTATGGTATGACATCAGTTTAAATATTATTAAATTCTGTAAGTTCGTAAAAACCTCTTGAAAACAGCTATTTAACCCCTTATGTACCCAAGAGGTCTTCATAAGTGATTCCTCTCTTAAGACCTTTATTTATGAACTTTTAAAACACAAGTTATTTCTTTACAGTATAATCTGAATGGAAGAGAAGTAAGAACTTTGGGTTTTAATGGAATGACTAGGAGAGGTTATTTCTTTTTCATAGGAAAGGTTGACTGTTGTGGCTTTACTATTTTGTTTGAGGTGAATTACCAAAACGTTTACTCACAGATTTTTATCATAAATACAAATACCTGTCTCAAAATTGTTCATAAAACTTTGTGTGCTTCCCTGTATCTCTGTTAGTGAGGCTATTCCTTCCTACTTCAAGGTGTCTATCAGTTTGAACACTTGGGGACAGTTTTATAAAAAGAAAACAAGTTGACCTTTTGTGGAACTAGCATTCAGAATCTCACATAAAATACTCCAGTGTTCTAACAAAATATTCAGTAGACATTTATTGACACATATTATATACCTGATATTTTGCTCAACACTGGTAATACCTTTTAGCAAATGATCTTACCTCCTTTTTTACTGAAAAATTAAAATTCTACCAGGCAGGAACTTCTGCAGATATCTATCCCTTGAAAAATTGGCCCTGGCTGGTGTGGCTCAATTGGTTGGGTTTCATCCCATGCACCGAAAGACCACCAGTTCAATTCCTAGTCAGGGCACATTCCCAGGGTGCAGGCTCGATTACCCAGTGGGATGCGTGAAGGAGGCAGGCAGTTGATGTTTTGCTCTCACATCAATGTTTCTCTCCCTCTTCCTTCCTCTCTTTTTCTAAAAATCAATAAAAAAAATTTTTTTAAACATATTTCTCCTTATCTTAATCTTTACTTGAACTTGCTTTTCTCTTTCTTGTCTCAGAGGACGGTGCACAGCCTATATCTGGGTTTCTTGTTAGCCCAGTGGCCCTGCTCCATTAGTTAGCATTAACCCATGTCTTAGAATCTTTATTGTGTTTACAAAACTGTAGGGCTTCTTAACCTGGAGTAAGAGAACTTAGAGGGCTCTTGAATCCCCTGAAACTATGAAGTTGTGTATGTGTTTGCATTTAGGAGAGACCCCAGGGCTTTCGTTTAATTCTGGAAGCTTTCCTTGATGTAAGAGAATTAAGAAACAAGATTTTCTACTTTGTAATGACCCTTCAAAAACCTTGGTTTTTTCTAACTTTCACTCTACCTCTCTTCTCACAATCATGCTTCCTTTTCCTTAGTACTAACTCATTTATTAGTCCTCATCAAACTTGCTTCCACCCCATCCCTACCATTAAAACTACTTTGTTCCAGTCATCAACATTGACTATATTGAAAACTAGAGGCCCGATGCACAAAAATTTGTGCACTCGGGGGGAGGGGTGGTCCCTCAGCCCGGCCTGTGCCCTCTCACAGTCTGGGACCCCTCCGGGGATGACCACCTGCTGGCTTAGGCCCGCTCCCCGGGGGATCGGGCCTAAGCTGGCAGTCAGACATCCCTCTGGCAGCCCGGGAGCCCTCAGGGGATGTCCACTTGCCAGTGGGGAGCAGGCCTAGCTGCAGTCAGACATCCTTAGCACTGCTGAGGAGGCAGGAGAGGCTCCCACCACCACCACTGTACTGGCAGCCTGGCTTGTGGCTGAGCAGAGCTCCCCCATGTGGGAGCTCACTGACCACCAGAGGGCAGCTCCTGCATTGAGCGTCTGCCCCCTGGTGTTCAGTGTGTGTCATAGTGACCTGTCATTCCCAGTGTTTCTGCTGTTAGGGTCAGTTTGCATATTACCCTTTTACTATATAGGATAGAGGCCTGGTGCACAAGTGGGGGCCAGCTGGTTTGCCCTCAAGGGTGTCCCGGATCAGGGTGGGGGTCCTGCTTGGGTGCCTGGCCAGCCTGGGTGAGGGGCTGATGGCTGTTTTCAGGCTGGCCACACCGCCTTTAGGGTGGGGGTCCCCACTGGGGTGCTTGGCCAGTCTGGGTGAGGGGCTGAGGGCCGTTTTCAGGCTGGCAGGGGACTGAAGCTCCCAGCTTCTCCTTTTTTTCTTTTTTCTTTTTCCAGAGCGGCCTGGAAGCAGGTATCTGGGATTTATTTATCTTCTATAATTGAAACTTTATAGCCTTGAGTGGAGTCCAGGGCCGGTCAGGGCAGGCGGGAAGCTTGGCTTCTTCCATCGCCGGGGGCAACCCAAGCCTCCTGCTCACTCCAGCTTTGTGGCCATGGCCACCTTAGTTGGGTTAATTTGCATACTGGCTCCTGATTGGCTGGTGGGCGTGGCTGGTGGGCATGGCTTGACGGTTAATTTGCATCTTTCTCTTTTGTTAGTGTAGATGTTTTATTGAGTACCAATTTTGTGCTATGCACCTTTCTAGGCATTATAGTTATGACAGTGAGCAGATAAGAGCCTAGATCTCTTGGAGCTTACCTTCTAGTAGGGGGAGAAAACTAGTGAAGAAATAAATTATATAATTTCAAATGATATAAGTGTAAATAACCTAACAAGAGAGTGACTAGGAGAGAGGCTATTTAGGTAAGAGGTCAGGGAAGAGCCCAAGAGCTGAGCTGGGGGTAAGATGGAGCCAGGCATAGGCTGGGCCTTAACATGGAATGATAGTGGTTCAGTAGAGGATCAGAAAGAAAACCGATAAAGCCGGCAGGTGGACAACGAAGAGAGTGGTAGGTCTGTTTAGGAAAGTGAAGGCAGGGCCCAAATCACATAGGACCTTAAAACGGTGGGTTTTATTCTGATTGCATTGGGGAGCCATTGGAGTGTTTTTGAGGAGGATCTCATTGTTTTAAAGTGATTCTTTTCATCTCCATTTGGAAAATAGCTGCAGGGAGCAACATAGAAGCAGAAAGACCACTTAGGAAATGTGCAGTAATCCGTGTGCGAGATGATGGTGACTTGAACCATGGAAGTGGTAATAAAAGTGTAGAGAAGTGGTGGGTTTGGAGTTAGAACCCACAGGGCTTGTTGATGCATTTGATGGGGATCAGGGAAAGAGGAGACAAAGGTGACTCCTCTGGCACTGCCTTAGGCACTGCCATTTGACCTGGGAGAGACTGGGAAGGAGCCTAGTGGAGGCGTGCTGAGAGCAGACTGCAGGTGGGAGAATTAGAGGTCTGTTTTACACAAGTTAAGTTGCAATGGCTGTGGACATCCAATAAACACAATATAATGTGCTCCGATAGGGTGTAGTCATAGTTTTTTGGGAACATGTAAAATCCATTCTATGTCTTTTGGAGGGAATTAGAACTCAGAAATATTCTTTCGTAGTCCTTTTCTCTATATTCCCTTAGCACCCATGTGCATTCATTCCTCTAGTGTGCACTAATCCTGCTGTACTCAAATTTCTGATTTATTAGTTCTGGAGTTCCCTAGATCATTGCGGGTTGAAATTATAGCTTTTTATTTGGTTTCCATATTTCTGTCCCCAGAATCTAATATTGGGTCTTCATTACTCTGTTTATAAATTTGAGAATTGAATAAATGTGACTGTTACAGTCTGATAGTATGAACTGAAACAGTGATAGGAATGGAAGATATGAATTTGAGAGAGATTTTAGTGAAAAATTAGTAGGACTTGATGGCCAATTAGATAAGTTGAGTCACTGAGAAGAATTAGGAATAATAGTAATGGTTAATAATAATAATTATATATATAGACTTGCTTAGTCTGGCACTTTTCTAAGTGCTTTACTTATATGAATCCTCATAGCAGCTCTTTGAGGCGAGTACTGTTATCATTCCCATTTTATAGGTGAAGGCTTGGCCAGAGAAGTAACTTGCCTCTAGTCATGCAGCTAAGAAGCGGCAGAACTAGCATGATGAACATGAACAGTCTGATGCTAATGAACACACTCTTAACCACTATGCTATGTTACTTCCCAATTGAGAATGATTGTGGTTCTCACTTGGATGTTTATGATAACAGTTTGCTGCTCGCAAAGTACTTTACTTGCATTCTCTGAGATATGTACAGGAATACAAGTTCCATTCATAATCCATTTAAAGATCATGGGAATGTGGAGAATATTCTGGTGGCTGGCTAGACAAGGGCATTTCAGATACATTGATTTATCTCCCTTTTTACTGCCTCCTAAGCTAGTGCAGGGAAAGTAGCAGCTCTACTGTGATCGTCTCTTGGCCTCTTCCTACTTTTAATTTCTAGATTAGTCTGATGGGTAATTTTATAGAACTCCCACTTGACCATTGAGATTCCCAAAGAGAAGAAAGAATATTCAATTGTATCTGCTGTGGTACACTGCTTCATTGTCACATCTACTAAATTTTATGATACCTTCCTATCACAGACAGCTCTGTGCAGGCTGGGGCAGTACAGAGAGTTCTAGGACATTGCTTGTTCTTAACATTCTAATGATCATGTGAGGGAGATGTACATCCAGAAAACCAAATAGCTACATAAGTTGTTCTATAACGACTATATACAAAATTCTCATTGAAGAAGTGATCACTATTCAATGGAGAAGACAAAGAAAACCTCTAAGAGAATCTAGAAGTCTAGCTGAAACTTAGGAATGTCTTCATTGTTAGTTAAATGGATAAAAGGGTGAGGGCAAGGCTTAACGAATAAAAGATAACATGTTTCTGCCCTGGCCAATTTTGCACAGTGGATAGGGCGTTGGCCTGCAGACTCAAGGCTCCCTGGTTCGATTCTGGTCAAGGGCATGTACCTTGGTTGCGGGCACATCCCCAGTGGGGAGTGTGCAGGAGGCAGCTGATTGATGTTTCTCTCTCATCGATGTTTCTAACTCTCTATCTTCCTCTCCCTTCCTCTCTGTAAAAATCAATAAAAAATATATATATTTTTAAAAAAGATAACATGTTTCTGAATGTATAAAGAATGTGGAGTAGTTTGGAATAGTTTGTCCTTAATTGAGGGATTCTTGGAGGTGTCAAGTAGGAGATAAATTTGGAGTCATGGGAAGGGACCAAATTATAAGAGCTCTGAATGCTAGGTAGGCTTAGACTGTACCTGACTTCCCTGAATTAATTTGGGTTGAGGCCTATTTCAAAATAAGAAGATGGAGAATAAATATTAATTCAATGCTTGTTTTATGGGATGTTTTATGGGTCTAGTTTCTATACTAGCCCAATAAGGATTGCTGAGCATCTTTATGGAAATGCAGTATTTCAGGCATATTGTGAATAAAAATCTGCATTTTAATAAGATTCCCAAGTGATTTGTATATTCACTAAAAAAATTGAAAAGTACTATAGGGAGGAGTCATTTGATTCTGTTATTCTAAGTCAAATGTTTATAAGTAGGAACATATTTTTCAAGAGAAACTGTATAAGGAATTGGATTTCAGCCTACCCATAAAGGCATAAACGATTCATAGTTAGAAATACTCTGTGGGATCTAATGCTAAGTTACAAGTGAGGCAATAACTGCTGGAGTGAAGAACAGAAACACAGACTTCTGTTTTGTTTAGGAAAAGGAAAAAAGGAAGAGACGTCTGTCACACTGCTAAGTGCTGGATTAGACATTGTGTGACATAAGCTTAGTGGCTGGGGGATCCTGATTCTGGAGTATAACAGCTGTGTTGCCAGGAGGGATCTAAGATACTTACAGGAAATTCTCTCTTCCTTAACATAAAGGCAGCCTTGATTCAGGAAAAGAACAAATTATTTTCCTAAATTATACAATTTCTAAGACACTTTGTCAAGTAAAAATGTACAATGTGGATTAGTATGTGTAGTATGTTAAAGTGAAATATCTTGTTATTTTGCACATGTACAAATATGTATGTGGGAACAATTTCTAGGAATGGGATTATTTGTACAGAAGCTATGAGTATTTGTAATGTTTGTAGATTTTATTTAACCGTTTGAGTCACAGGGGGTATTGAAAAAACACTGTCGAAGAATCCCAAACAGCGCAACCGCGCTTTCTCTAAATGAGTACGAAAAGACCCAAACAGCGTGATAGCGCTTGTTTTATTTTATGTCGAGAAATACCAAGCAGCGCGATTGCGCTGCTTGGGACTCAAATGGATATTAATTAAAAGGAGCTGTGTGATGTACTTGCGTCAGTAAATCTGAGCGCGCGACTTCGACAATTGGTAACGCACCGTCAGCTGTCCACAACGTTCGAAATGTGCTGGGTTTCCTTGACATAAAATCTCAGCAGCGCAATTGCGCTGCTTGGGACTCAAACGGTTAATTGATCTTCATAAGTATTGTACTTCATATACACTGCCACCAGTGGTGTATAACAATACTACGTTATATATACAACTATTTTATCTTTGCCAGTGTGAGTTGAAAAATTGTATCCAAGGTTGCTTCAATTTGTATCCCTCGCCCTAGCCGGTTTGGCTCACTGGATAGAGCGTCGGCCTGGGGACTGAAGGGTCCCAGGTTCGATTCCGGTCAAGGGCATGTACCTTGGTTGCAGGCACATCCCCAGTAGGGGGTGTGCAGGAGGCAGCTGATCGATGCTTCCCTCTCATGGATGTTTCTAACTCTCTATCACTCTCCCTTCCTTGCTGTAAAAATTTGTATCCCTCTAAATGGTGATATTGAGTATCTTTAAATCTATTTAAAAGTCATGTATGTGAAGTATCCATATTCTTTGCCACTTTTTCTACCAAGGTATTTCTTTTCCTTTCTTATTTATTGGAATTATTAATACACTGGAGGCCCAGTGCATGAAATTCATGCAAGGTTGTGTGTGTGTGTGTGTGTATGTGTGTCCCTCAGCCCAGCCTGCACCCTCTCCAATCTGGGACTCCTCGAGGGATGTCCGACTGTCCATTTAGGCCTGATCCCTAAACGGGCAGTCGGACATCCCTCTCACAATCCAGGACTGCTGGCTCCCAACTGCTCGCTTGCCTGCCTGCCTGATTGCCCCCTAACCACTCCCCTGCCAGCCTGATCGACGCCTAACTGCTCCCCTGCCTGCCCAGTTACCCCTAACTCCCCTCCACTGCCGGCCTGGTCACCCCTAACTGCCCTCCACTGCTGGCCTGGTCACCCCTAACTGCCCTCCCCTGCAGGCCTGGTTCCCCCCAACTGCCCTCCCCTGCCAGTCATCTTTGACCACATGGGGGCGGCCATCTTGTGTGTTGCAGTGATGGTCAATTTGCATATTACCTCTTTATTATATAGGATTAGGGAGAAGCCAGCCCTTTGTGATATGGGTAGCAAACCTTTTTGGAAAACACAGGCCTAGAGATAGATACTTAATTTGCTGCTGACCCAATATTTTCTTAGTACAGTGATTACCAAGGGGATAGGCTGAGGTATGTCTCCTTTGAAAAGCATGTTCAATATTGTAGTTTCATATTTGGAAAGCACACAGAAAAAGTTTTATAACATAAAATGTTAAGAAAGTAAAGCTTGCTGAAATATTCTTTGCTGGTATGACAAGGTTAAAACCAATTGAAAATGTACCTTAAGAATGTGGTTAATTTAAAAAGTTTATATACTGTTGTGAGAAACCACAAAGCTGTTTTAAAAAGAATGTCCTGGTATTATTCCTATTCTTTCCACTAGGTTACCACCAAAGAACATGATTTTGGTCTAGGGGCTCCAGTTTCCGAAGCTGGAAAATACCAGAATACTCTCCAGCTAGAACAACAAGTGAGAACTCAAGATAAATTCATCTCTACACTGAAATTACAGGTTACATTTAATTTACATATGTATTTATTTCCCTGAATTAATTTTGGCTGGGGCCTATTTTAAAATAAGAAGGCGGAGAACATTAATTCAGTGCTGGCTTATGGTTTTATTTTCTGGGTCTAAAATCATTTCATTTTTATCTTAACCGTTTTGATACACAGAGTCTGAGTCAGTGAGTGCCAGCTGTGTGCCAGGTGTTCTATGAGGTGCTTTCAAGTACATAATCTTACTTCATCCCAACCTTGTGAAACTGTCGTTACTTCTATTTTACAGACATGGAAGCTGAAGTTCCAAGAGGTTAAAGAATTATGGTACTGGACTAATGAATGACAGAGCTAGGATTTCTCTGAATTCCCAAGTTAGTTAGGATTTGAATGCAGTTCTCTGAACTCCAAGTTGAGCATTATTTCTCTTCTCCTGGTGCCTAATCTGTGGGGTAGCTATTAATTAAGGTCATTGAAAGAAATTGCCTCTTGTAGGAAGAAGGAGTAGACTTACTTTTCCATAATCCTCTTACTAAGTACAGCTAAAAACCCTGAACATTATGTATGAAACAAGCATAGAACACTGAAAGGCAGGAGGAAGAAGGAAGACTGACTAGGGACCCCAACACACCAAGACTAGGAAAGGGACAGCCTAGCAAGGAAGACTACTTTTAGACAGTAACTGCCTGCTCTAAGCAACACTGTGGAAAACCTATAGCCCCGTTTCTGCCCACAAAGACTAGGAGCCTAGCTGGTTATCCTTGCCAGGCTGTAACAAGAAGCCCCAGCTGCACCTCATACCCTCCTCTCCCCCCACCAACTTCTTCATCCCCACAAGGTGGTGTCAAAGAAGAAGGCTGAGTTGGGAACCAAGACTTTTGTGCCCACAAGGCGGTAAGGGACGTTCCCAACCCCATTGTGTGTGTGTGAAGCACATGGGGAGCCTACAAGCAGCTACCCCCACCGGGTGGTGTGAAGTGCCTCCTTTCCTCCTTGCTGGAGTGGTGTCCGAGGAGAATATGCAGAGTTAGGGCTTTACCAGGACCCAGCACGAACAAGTCCACTCACCCACGGTGGCAGTGGTGGACATGTGAGAGCAGTAGCGAGGCACCTCTGCTCCATGCTCTTGTGGTATCAGCAGAGGCCCAGTGAGGAGCCTGAATTTCCATCCCTGCCCAGCAGGAACAAGGAGCTTCACCTTCTCCAGGTGTCCATGGAAGCCTCGGGTAAAAACTGGACTTCCTCCCCCCCACCCCCCCGAAGCAGGAACAAAGCAGTGTCCCTCCTTTCTAGCTGGAGCAGTGTCACAGGAAGCCCACTAAAACACAGGATCCAGAGTCTTAGAATACCAAGTTTCAATTAAAAGAAAAAATCACTCCTTATCCTAAAAATCAGGAAGATCTCAATTTCAGTGAGAAAAGACAGGATGTGCCAGGATTGATATGAATTAGATATTACAATGATCTGACAAGGATTTCAAATCAGCCATCTTATAAATGCTTCAGCAAGCATTTTTTACATACCTGGGATATAGAAAAGAAAATAGAAAATCTCAGCAAAGAAGTAAAAGATATAAAGAGATATAAACAAGAACCAAATGGAAATTTTAGAAGCAACCAAATTGTTCTTCAATAAGTGAATGGATAAACTGGTGCATCCATAGAATGGAATTGTAAAAAGAAATGTGTTATCAAGCCACAACAAGACATAAAGGAACCTTGAAAGCATATAGTTAGGTGGAAAAAGCCAATCTTAAAAGGTTACATATTCTGATTCTAACTATACAACCTGAAAAAGACAAAACATTGAGACCTTGGAGGGAGAGAGAGAGATGAATAGAGCGCAGGTGATTTTTAGGGCAGTATTCTGTCTGATACAATAATGATGGTTACATGTTAGTATACAATTGTCAGAACCCATAGAATCTACAACCCAAAGAATGAACCCTAATGTAAACGATGGAGTATAGTTAATCATAACGTATCAGTGTTGGTTCATCACTTGTAACAAATGTACCACACTGTTACAAGATGTAAAGCAAAGGGGAAATGGTGTGTGTATGTTTGGGGGTGGGGAAACAAAAGGTATGTGGGAAATCTCTGGAATTCCTGATCAGTTTTTCTATAAAACTGCTCTAAAAATAAAATTTATTAAAAATGTACAGAAGGAAATGTTTGTAAATCATATATCACATAAGGGATTAATAACCAGAATATAGTATAGAGAACTACAACTCAACAGCAACAACAAATCCAATTCAAAAGTGGATAACGGACTTGAGTAGACATTTCTCCAAAGAAGGTCTATCAATGGCTAATAAACATATGAAAAGATCACCAACCATTAAAGAAATGCAAAACCACAATGAGATATTACTTTACACTCATTAAGATGGATATTATAAAAAACAAAAACCAACCAACCAAACAAAAAACAGAAAATTACAGGTATTGGTGAGGATGGGGAGAAACTGGAGCCCTGTATGGTTGCTGGTGGGAAAGTTAAAATGGTGCAGCCATGTTGAAAAAAGTTTAGCAGCTGCTCAAAAAGTTAAATATAGAATTGCAGTATTTTCCCAGCTATTCTCCTAGGTGTATCCCAAAAGATTAAAAGCAGGTCCTCAAACAGATACTTGGACACCAATGTTCATAGCAGCATTATTCACAATAGCAAAAAGGTAGAAACAACCCAGATATTCATCAGCAGATGAATGGATAAACAAACTGGCACGTACATACAATGGAATATTATTCACCCTTAAAAAGAATGAAATGCTGATAGAAGCTACAACATGGATGAGCCTTGAAAACATTATGCTAAGTGAAATAAGGCAGGCACAGAAGGACAAATATTGTACAATTCCACTTATATAAGGTACCTAGAATAGGAAAATTCATAGAATTTGTTTAATGGGTACAGAGTTTCTATTTGGGATGATGGAAAAGTTCTGGACATGGATATAGAATGGTTGCACAACATTATGAATATACTTAATGCCACTGAATTTTACACACAAAAATAGTTATAATGGTAAATGTTATGGTATGTCTATTTCATCACAACAAAATTAGTTAAAACAAATGTAGTAACAGAATTAAAAACTCAGTGTTCTCAAACAACAAAATACACAGGGAGAGAGGAATGAATCAGTGAACATGAGAGCAGAAAAATAGAAATTACCTGAACAATAGAGAGAAAATAGATTGAAAAAGTGAACAGAGGTTTAGAACAGGTAGAACCATAACAAAAGATACAACATTTGGATACTTGGGGTGCAGCAAGAGAGGCAGAAAAGAGAGAGGCTGAAAAAGTATTTGAAGGAATAATGGCTAAATATTCCCCAAATTTGATAAAAGACATAAAACAGATTAAAGAAGGTGAATGAATGCCTACAGGGATTCTCCCAAAGAAACCCATGCCAATACACTTTCTATTTAAACCTGTGAAAACTAAAGACCACAAATGTTCCTGAAATCAGAGAATTCATTACCTAGAGGCAAACATCAATTCAAATTACAGCAGATCTGAAAACATGGGGGTTAGAAGGAAGTGGCACAACATTTTTCAAGTTTTGGAGAAAAGAACTGTCAATTCAGTATTCTGTATGAAGGGAAAGTCAAGATTCTCAGAGGAAGAAAACTAAAAGAATTGATTGCCAGCAAAGAATAGCAAAAGGAATTTCTCTAACTATGATGGAGATAAAAGAAGCAAACTTGGAAGAGTAGAAAGAAAGAAAGGACAACATTTAGAGCAAAAATATGAATAAATGTAATAGATTTTCTTTTTTTCTAGTTTTTTAATGTATCTTTTTCAAATATAGTTCTCGATGCATGTAGAGGATAATATTTAAGACAATTATTAATAGAGGAGGATAAAGGAATGTAAAGGGAGATAAGGATTTTATACTTCACTCAAACTGGTAAAATGTAGGCTGCAATAAGTTGTGAATGTATAGGGCAACCATTAAAAAGTTATACAGCCCAGGCTGGTGTGGCTCAGTTGTTTGGGTATCATCCTGTGCACATAAGAGTGAACAAAAAAGCCACACTTGAATTGTAACAAAAGTAATTACATTAAGTACATATATTACTTAAAAGATGGGAACTGACAGAATGGGTTAAAAAACATGACCTAGCTTTATGCAGTCTACAAGAAATACCCTTTCAGGATATAGCCAAGTTGAAAGGTTGAAAGGCACACAGACCTGAAATGAAGAAATAAAACTGACCCTGTTTGTAGATCACATGATCTTCTACTTTGAAAATCTCATAAATATATAATATAAAAGGCAGAACTAATAAATGATTTTAGCAAGGTCAGAATACAAGACAAACAATTAAATTTCTGTATATTTCTATATATAACGTGGCAATCAAAATTAAAAATGCATTACTATTTATAGTTACTCAAATAGAAAATGGAATGATTAGATGTAAATCTAATAAAGAAGCTATGAGTTTGTATTCTGAAAAGACAAAATGCTAATGAAATGGAAGATCTAAACAAATGGAAAGACATATGTTTATGGATTGTAAGCCTCAACATAGTAAAGATGTCAGTTCTGTCCAAATCAATATATTGGTATAATGCAATGTCCATCCAAGTTGTTAATCAGCAATAAAAAGGAATCTATTGATCCAAGTTGTTTTATTTATTTAACATTCTCAAATTCTAGCAAAAACAATTTGGAAAAAACAAAGTCATTCTTTTTTTTTTTCTTTATTGATTAAGCTATTACATATGTGTCCTTATTCCCCCACTATCCCCCACCCCCCTACTCATGCCCTCACCCCCCTGGTGTCTGTGTCCATTGGTTAGGCTTATATGCATACATACAAGTCCTTTGGTTAATCTTTCCCTCTTACCCCTACCCTCCCCTACCTCCCCTCTAGGTTTGACAGTCTGATCAAGGCTTTTCTGTCTCTGGATCTGTTTTTGTTCATTAGTTTATGTTGTTCGTTATATTCCACAAATGAGTGAGATCATGTGATATTTATCTTTCTCTAATTGGCTTAT